ACACTTTAACAAATAAGCTTTGATCTCCCTTTTCTCTTTGTTTAAATTAATTATTTCAATAGGAATTTGGCATGTGATGATAAAACCTATTCTGCTTGTAAATTCTTGTAAACTCTTCCTTCAGTGATTAAACCTCTTTCTGAGGGGAGCCTTGGGACAGTTATATTTTCCATGTGCTTGCTTGCAGTTTAAATGCCATCCTGGACTTTTTGCCCAAGCAGAGAAGGACAGGTCTGTTCTCAGCTACTCAGACTCAGGAGGTGGAGAACCTGGTGAGAGCAGGGCTCCGGAATCCCGTCCGGATCTCGGTGAAGGAGAAGGGAGTGGCAGCAACCAACACCCAGAAAACTCCCACACGCCTGGAGAACTATTACATGGTGGGAACCTGGGCTTTGAGAGAGCTTCTTGTTCCCTCTCCTTTTTTCCTGGTTCTGTCAATAAGTTTTTAAGTCTTAGAATCACAATAATAGAGGAACCAGAAGTCTATTTTCTTACTTTTCTTTTTTTCTCTTGCATTGTTTAGATCTGCAAAGCAGATGAAAAATTTAATCAGCTGGTGCATTTTCTTCGGCAGCACAAACAGGAAAAACATCTGGTCTTTTTTAGGTAATTCTGTTGGTGTTTCATTGTGAAAACAGTTTTAATAATAGTGTTTTATTAAATTCCAAAACTGCCCTGTGTTGCCAAGGATACAACTTTTTCAAAGTGATTAATTTTGAGAACTGTCTTGTAGAATATGATGCCTAAAAAGAGATTAATCATTTCTTCATGTGAGGATTGTGTTGAATGTTATTAAGCAAAACAGAAATTTTATATGCAGTTTTAAAGTAAGACATTATAGATGATTATATGTAATTTATAAAAATTATGTGCATGTTTTCTATAAAAATAGTCAATAGTGTATATTTTTGAAACATTTCAGACCACTCGAGCTTGACTGTCTAAACCAGATTAAAAATGCAGCATAATCTTTTGACTTAATGCCTGTTTTTATCACCACAGCACGTGTGCCTGCGTGGAATACTATGGAAAGGCTTTGGAATCCTTGATTAAACAAGTGAAAATAATGAGCATTCATGGGAAAATGAAGCACAAGCGTAACAAGATCTTTACTGAGTTTCGGAAGCTCCCGGGGTAAGAACTTGGGCTGAAGCAGCCAAAAGTCAGAGCAGTGAGGGGCATTTTGGTGATTTTGTCTGACTATTCTCCTGCTACTTGAGCAGGGAAGAACAGCTGAGGAGGAGGATGCTACAGGCTGGTTCTGAGTGTATTTATAATATCACAGAGTGGGAACCAGAGCAAAACCCCAGGATATTATTTTTGTAGTGTATGAACAAGGATGTGGTAACACAAGGCTGTAACTTAACTGCAGAAAAGTGTTCTTTGGCAGCTCTGCAGGATGTTAAGAGACTCTTGCCTCATTAGCTGTCATTATTTATTGCGTGGGACCTGAGCTTTGGCATTTTATATTATGAGAAAAATAATTACCAGCAGATTGGAAGAACAGCTGTTTAAAAGACCAGCATTTAAAAGACCAATTTTGATGTGCTAAAATTGTCACTCTCTTTAAGGTTTTTATTGAAACATTTATAATAGTACATTCAGCTGTCGTTGATGCAATGCTGATTTAGAATTGGAATATGTAATAGGAAATTGATTTTTCTTAAAAATGTAATATAAATCACAATAATTTTCATAACGTTATGTGGAATTTTACTTGGTGGAAGCTGCAGTTACCTTATATTTTGTCTCTTTTAAACGCTCAAATGTTTCTAATGTTCTGTCCCCACCGTCCAGTGAAGATGCAGAACACACAGCTGGGGGGACTGGCTCTCCTGAAATGAGTTTAATGAAAATACACTTTTCCTCCTTCCCAGGGGCATTTTGGTTTGCACAGATGTGATGGCCCGTGGCATTGACATCCCAGAAGTGCACTGGGTTTTGCAGTACGACCCACCCAGCAGTGCAAGGTACAGTTCCACGTCCTAAGAACCTTTTCTATCCATGTGATCATGCTCTTGTACTGTTCAGGTATAAACTGGGAACCAAAATTTGCAGAAAACACATTTAATCACTGCCTGGAAGTCGAGGTGAACACAAAATGATGCAGGAACAAGAGAGGCTGATACACTGCAGTGTTTGCTGTAACTGCTGTAGATTGAAATGACTTTGTGTTGTGTGTGTGTAAGATGGGTGGTCACCACTTCCATCTCTGTGAAGAGGTGACTCTGGAAAAGGCTTAATGTGAGAATATCAGAGAAGTAGTGAGAGGTGACACACTGGGGTGAAGAGCAGAGATGAGAGTGGGGACAGAGCTCTTGGAGAAATGGTACATTGAAAGCTCACAGGAAAGGAGCTTTTACACATCTTTTAACTTCTGTTGTCATAATTCTTGCTACAACTTGCTTAACTATCACCCCCAAAACAGATACCCCTTGCTTTAGCCTAACACTTGAACGGGGCTGCCACCCTTCTTTGTGGGACATTGAGTTTTACTAATTCCCGTTGGTTTAGTTCAAAAGTACAGAACAGTATATTTTCCATTCCACATTCCACATCCCCAGGCCCTTTTTGCTGCCTGTCTAACACTTCAAAATCAGACTGACTGTCCTGTTGAGTTGCCTGTGTTGGGTTGTTGCAGTGCCTTCGTGCATCGCTGCGGTCGGACCGCGCGGATTGGCCACGTTGGCAGCGCACTCGTGTTTTTGCTTCCCATGGAAGAATCTTACGTTAACTTTCTCTCAATCAACCAAAAGGTTCGTGGACTTTTATTCTACCCCAAAGCAGGAGAGAGCAAGGGGACAGGCTGATAGGAAGCCTACTGAGTTTGGAAGAGGAACATGTGGGCAGTGAGTAAGGAAAGGCTTTTTGTCCCTAAGGCTGTAAATTGTGCATTTCCAGAAGGGCAGTGCTGGCCAACCCTCCTGCCCCAGCCCTGCCACCACCAGCTGACACACTGCACCCTCTGTGCCATTCATTTTTAACTCTTTTCCCATGCCTGCTCCTGCATTTGTGTAATTGTATAAATTCTCTAGACCTGCTAATGAGATCAAAGCTTGATAAGGCACAAGATGATGTTGCCTCTCCACAGCTGTTGTGCGGGGCTGATGGTCAGCTGGTGTGTTGGAATGACCAAGGGGAAAGGGGCTCAAAGCTCACTGAGGATTAACTGGGCAGGAAGTGTGTGTTTGAGGTTTCACAGCGCATTTGACACCATTTAGCTGAACTTTTCCTTTGGTTTTGTTGTTTATTTTCTGGTTCTCAGTGTCCGATGCAGGAAATGAAACCACAGATCAATGTGTTGGATCTTCTTCCCAAACTGAAGTCCATGGCTCTGGCTGACAGGGCAGTGTTTGAGAAAGGGATGAAAGCCTTTGTGTCTTATGTCCAGGCTTATGCCAAACATGAATGCAATCTGATCTTCCGAATAAAAGGTAATTCCCAGCAGGGCTAGTGTCTTCTACTGTTCTTTTCAGAAGATGGGATTTGGTTTGGGAAAAAAACCCCATGGTATTATTGTCCCCAAGCTTCAACTACTGATTCTGAATCTCAGATTCACTTTCTACAACATCAGATTTTGACAAAACTCCTATTTTTTCAAGCAGCTTGTTTCAAGAGAAAACATTTAATTATGGAGTTTGACCAAACCGATATAAGTATAAATAAAAGTGACTTAGTATTGTTGCTGGTATTAAGTGTAGAATGCAAACAATACACTAAAATAATTTTAGGGTTTTTTTTCTTTCTCAGTTAAATGAACTTCTTATTCAGCAGGAAACTGACTTTATAATCTTTGTTTCAACAGATCTGGATTTTGCCAGTCTTGCCAGAGGTTTTGCATTGTTAAAAATGCCAAAGATGCCTGAACTAAGAGGAAAATGTTTTCCAGACTTTACTCCAGTCACTGTGAATACAGACTCCATTTCGTTTAAGGATAAAAATAGAGAAAAGCAGAGACAAAAGAAATTAGAACAACAAAGAAAAGAGAGAAAAGAAAATGAAGGGAAAAAGAAATTCATAAAGAACAAAGCCTGGTCAAAGCAGAAAGCCAAGAGGGAGAAGAAAAAGAAAGTAACAGCTAAAAGGAAGCATGAAGAGGTAACTGTGTCCATTCTGTTAAAATGCAAATTATTATAGTTTCCAATGGCAGAGTGCCCTGGGATTTTAGTGTGGTGGAACTGATGGCTGTAAAGTAACTTTTTAGGACCTTGACAGGCAAATCTTAACAAAAAAAATTACAGAGAAGCTTTTTAAAGCCAAACACTAAACTAATTTCTCAGCACTTATGCTGGTTATTAGTGCTGCCAGCAGACATAGCAGGGATTTTTATTTCTCTGGAGTCCTGCAGGAGGGCCTGATGGTGGACAGGGCTTGGTTTTTCCTTGCTTTTGTTAATTTTCAACAAGTATAGCTGAGAGTTACAGAGTTTCCTGGGTAGGAATTGAGTATTATTTCCTGCTTGGATACTCCTGGCAAAATCCAAGTTGTAATCTTCTCACGTTCAGCTGTATAGAATGAAAATTTTCTGGTGTAGTGTTTAATTTGTTGTTTTCAACTGCCAACAGGGCTCTGATATCGAAGATGAGGATATGGAAGAGTTGCTGAATGACACAAGACTCTTGAAAAGACTAAAAAAGGGGAAAATTAGTGAAGAAGAGTTTGAGAAGAAACTAACAGGCCAGAGTAGACTCAAAGCAGAAACTGTTGCTGACAGAGTCTGAAGGCTGACAGTTATTCTTTTACATTAAAATACTGCTTATTTCAATAAATCTGGATTTTTATAAAAAATGATACAGAGAACAGAATTGATCCAGTTTCTTCATGGGGAGACCTGGCATCCAGAAAGACACACAAACCAGCCTGCAGTTGTTGAGAACAAAGCTAAAAGCACCACTCTGGTGTGGCAGGAGCTGCAATTTCCACCAGCAGCCTTGTGCATGTTTTAATTTTGGTTTTTTTTCAGATACATCCCACAGATCAGTAACAGCACACCTCAGAACGAGTCTGAATACACCATAAGGTACTTTAATTTATAGTATCAAAACACTCCACCCATCTTTAAAATAGTTTACTTTAGGTCTTTAGAAGCTGTAGTAACTTCTGGAAATTTTTCAAGAGTGGTCCATAATTACATTAATCCTTATGATGTTGTTTCCTTGCCATGTTCCTATAAATTGTACCATCTTCCAAGTCCTACAGCCCTGATGGTCACTGAAGATGATACATCCTGTGCAGGGAGTCCTGTGTGTTACAGGTAGAGTTTGATGAGTTCATCACTGACAGCTGAAGGAGTTAACACACCCAGGTCTGTGAACAGCAGCGTGATGAGTGATGGGGATGTGTAGTCAATCCAGGGATGCTCCTCTGTGAGATTCTGACCTGTTTTCAGAGTGTCTGCTTTGTACTAGAGGGAAACAGAGACCACCAGTTATTACACAACTGCAAGTCAAATCCTCTTTTGGGCAAGAGTGGTACTACAGCCTTGAGCAGATGTTTGTGGTAAAACTGAAGGAAGTCAAGTGCAGAGACTGGTGCCACCTTGGTCTCAGCTGCTTTATCTTCTGTAAAAAGTACAATTTGTAGTTCTAAAGTGTATTGGTTTAACTGTTTCTTACTCTCAGCTGCTCCTGCACCCCGAAGGAACTGCTTTAGGAACTAAATATTAGTATTAAGACAAATTATGGCTGTTTGGCACATGACTGTACAGTGGAGCTGCTCCATAACGTGCCACAGCACAGAGATCCAGATAAATGTGCTTAGAGGAAAATTTTTCACAGACACACAAGTGTGCACCTTAGCTGGGTAAGGTGGAATTAGAATTTCTCTTACCTTAAACCTGTCAGGGACATCCTGCTGATTTAGAGGGAAAAGTCTTACAAACTTGAAACTTTCTGCTACCACATAAAATGGCTTATTCTGGGCTTTGGCACACACAGCAATTTGATTAGTGCCAATCTGTGGAGACAGATGGAAAACAACATTGCAGACTCAGTGCTTGCATGACACAGTATTGCCCAGTTTCCAACAATAAAGAGACATTTACTGGAAAACATCCAAATAGAAGAGACTTTTCAAATAGCCTTGAACTTTTCAAAGGAACCAAACTTTAAAAGTCCAGAATTTAGAGAAGGATGGAAGAAACTCAAAATTACCTTGTTGATAATGCCTCCACTTTCAACCACACCTTCAGCACCAACCAACACCAGGTCCACTTTCTCCATAATGTAGCTGTTCAAAGAGGGGGAAAAAAATCCGAGGGTAACACAGCAAATGATTTGCTGAACAGAACAGAAATGAGTAACTCAAGCAGGCTTTCACTTTTCTGCACTAGTTCCACCTCTTGTAAGTCCATGTGCTGTTATATTCCAGGTGCCTTGGAGGCAGTGTCTTGGGCACTGAGGTTCAGATTTATTATAGTTCTTTCTTTTCCCATGTTTTGGACTTGTACTTATGCAAATTAGGAAAAAGGCAGCCTCTTTGTGTAGAACCTCAGTTCATTTTACAGATCTCCATGAGTTCTACACTTAGGTCTGACTCTTCCTTTCATTCTAACATGGAAAATCAAATACTTGTCTTGTAACAGGCACATTCTCCTAATTGTGCACCTAAAGGTGTAACTTGTTTAGCCTGTTTGATGACTATGACAAACTAAGTAATAACCTCTGGAGTTTGAAAAAGCTTCTAGAAAACTTACATGTAACACTGTCAAAATAGAACTGTGATGAAAAATATGAAGATTTATGATCAGATTTACCCAACTGCAGCATCCAGAATCACAGTCACGGGAATGTTCAGCTTCCTCAGGGCTTTTGCCATTTTTTGCCTGTTAAAGAAAAAATGTTTGAACCTTAAAAATCTTTTCTTTAGAGACAATGATAGGAAAATATTGTCTGAAAGACTGAAACCCGTGACTGTCCATGTTCTGTTGCTTGTAGAACAGAAAATAAGTTATTGTACAGAAATGGAAGGAATTGTTAGTGTGGTGGTGTGTGTTGTTAGTGATGTGTATTATACCGTGAGCAGGGTTTAATCTTTCACTTATGCAACAAAATATGCTCTGAAGTAATTACTTTATTTGGCATCTTCAAATGACATTGTTACCTATACATTTCACTATGCTATGATCAGGATAATGTTGATTATTTTGCCCTATTTTTGAAGGAGAAAATTAGAAATTGGTTGTCTCCCATCTCCCAGGGGTAAAGCAGTTGCTTGGCACTGCCTGAAAGTTTGTAAACATTTGAGGAAAACCTGGATAACACTAATTAGAATATTTAGTATGAGAAGTCAATTACCAATACTGTTTAGGGTTTTTTCCACTTGTCCAGAATAATGTGATATTAGTGACAGCTGCCATTTAAAATGCTGCAACCAAGCCTAGCAGGTTTGGGAGGCTTGATGGTAGCTGTAACTTACCCTGTTAACCAAGATAAAAACCAAATTTACGAGTACTTGCCCGGCTTGATCTGGCTGTGACTCAGTAACATAAACACTGAATCGCTTCTTTGCCTCCACAGCTGCTTCCAGCACCCTGAGGACCACCCTGGAGTAGGCATGGGTCAGGATTCGCTGCCAAAACAAAGGAAATTCAGACATTTATTTTTGCTGAGCTTTGGGAAACCTTTACTTTTGTTAATAGTGCCATGGCTTGTTATGCAGAAGTTAGAACAGGAGTGACCCTGCCAGGCCCTACTCACAGCACCATCTCTGATGAACGGGTGGCACAGCTTGGCGATTTTGTTCCTCGAGAGAGACACTTTCCTCAGGAAGATCTCGCCGCGCTCGATCATGATTTCTTTGCACTTGGAGTAGTCCTGGAAGACAGCGGGATGCCCGGTGAGGCGGGAGGGTCCCCCGGCACAGCGGGGCCGAGCAGGGCGGCCCTTACCGAGTACTCCAGGGACGTGAGGCTGATGAAGCGCAGGAACAGCTCCCCGCCGGAGGACACGGCCACCGAGGAGTCCACGCGGGACAGCGTGTCGATGGCGTCCCGCAGGCTGTTCCGGAGGCCCTGGATGGTCTCTCCTGGGGACAGGTAGGGTCAGGGGCTGGCCCCGGGGACAGCCGGGGTGCAGCGGGGAGGGGACCCGGGCCCACCTCGGTCCTGCTTGAGGAAGCCCAGCAGGGCGCGGATGGCGGCCACGGCAGAGGCGACATCGGGATCGTCCCTCAGCTGTGCCCGGAAGGTCTCGATCAAGGCTGGAAGACAACGGGGCGCGTTGGCCCAGCCCGGCACCCCCGGTACCGTCCGTGCCCATCGTCCCCTGATATCCCCCCGGTACCGTCCGTGCCCATCGTCCCCTGATATCCCCCCGGTGCCGTCTGAGCCCATCGTCCCCTGATATCCCCCCGGTACCGTCTGAGCCCACCGCTCCCCGATATCCCCCCGGTACCGTCCGTGCTCATCGCTCCCCGCTCCGCTCCTCCCGCCGCACCGGGGCGTGGGCAGGGCCGGGGCGCCTGCGGATGACGGAGCGCGGGGACGGAGCGTCATCTGAGGCCGCCGGGAGCAGCAGCTTCTCCCGACCGGCGAGATGAGCGCGGGTGAGGCGGCGGGTTCGGGGGTACCGCGTTCAGGGTCTGAGGGTACCGCGGCGGGGTCCGGGAGGTGCCGGGAGCGGGGCTCGGGTTCCTCGTGGAGGAGGCAGAGGCCGGAGCGGGGCTCTCGGGCACGGCTCTGCCGCCTGCACTGGGCTCCTCTGCCCCGGGCCCCGAGTGACGCTGCTGTGTTGGTCCCTTTGCAGAGGACGAGCTGAGCCTGCTGGTCATCGTCGTCGACACCAACCCCATCTGGTGGGGGAAGAGGGCGCTGGGAGAGGCGGAGGTACGGCCCTGGTGCTGCCCGTGGCCATTGCTGAGGGAAACGGTGTCATTTTTTTTAATCGTTAGTAAGTAGGCAAGAGATAGGATTAGTCTTTGACTTCTGAACTATCCTAACGTTGTCTGTTAAAGCGGGTATAATGGATATCAGAACATTCTTTTTTTAACTGCAGCTATTTCACAGATTTCTTCTGAGTTGCTTCTCTGTTATTGTGCTGTATCTACTGTTTTCTTTTCCAGCAATTCACCCTGTCGAAATGCATCGATGCCGTGATGGTGCTGGGAAATTCTCACTTGTTCATGAATCGCACCAACAAACTCGCTGTGATAGCAAGTCACACACAGGAAAGGTAGAGCTGCTTCTTAACAGTGTAAAGGTTTCAAGTGCACTTTCCTATATCTGTCTTCTGATTTTCTTACTGCCTTGAAGTGTATAATTGAAACCAAGTTAATGTGTGTAATATATCACTGTCTTAAAAGAAGAAATTAGCTAAAAAATTGTGGGAAAGAAATAATCTTAGTGCCTTACAAAGGAACAAAAAGGCTTATAAAACAGAAAGGAGGTTTAAATAGACTTAAAGATATACAGAGAGAGAGAGAATTGTAGAGATGCATCAAGTGGAACAGTGCAAGTGGCAGAAGTTTCCTGTTTAGTGGATATTTTCCCTGCAGATATTTGTGAGTCTTGGGGTCTCCCCCAAGTGCAGCCATAGTATCTGTTTGCCAGTTCTCTTAAGAGATGTCTTGAGAGGAGGGAGCTGAATTTGAGGTTTACTCATGTTTGAGTTTGAAGGTCACCTGCCTTAGGTAGTCTCTTTAATGTCTAAAGTATTAAAAGTATTTGAAATGATACCTCAGAGTATTGCTATCTGCAGCTAATTAATTTATGACAGTTTTTCTTACAAGGTTAAAGGCAAAACATGAATACTTTGCTTTTCCTGTGTTTTAGCCGTTTCCTGTACCCTGGGAAGCGTTGGGCTTCTGCAGATCCCTTCGGAGATGGAGGCAGTTCCATGGAATCTAATTGCTCTGGCAGCAAGGATGGAAAATATGAATTATTGACAGCAATAAATGATGCAATTGCAGAAGAGATTAAAGACCTCATGACAAAAAGTAAGGAGAAAAAAATTCTAGGCTTAATATGCAGAATTGCAAAATACTTGGACTCTCAAGGAGTTTTAGGAATTTCCTCTGTTTTCATCATGAGAATTTTAATGTGTTTAAAGTAGATGAATTTATTATGCTTGACACTTCAGGTTTCTGCTATAGTACTCTTTGCCAAAGATAAAACTTGGAGTATTTGGTGCGGACAATTTCAACAACTGTTTTTTATATCTAAAAGTAACTTTTGCAACTTTTCTTGTATTGCAGCTGAGATGAAGGGCCAGCAAACAGAAACCCTGCTAGCAGGATCACTTGCTAAAGCACTTTGTTGTATCCTTTTAATCACAGAATCTTCAAAGCCTTTATGTGTTTTTAAAACTTTTTCTTGTAATAGTAATTAAGTTTTACTATTTGTTTTCTCTTATAATATTAAACACTGAAATGTTTGCTTAATAACTGGGGGTTGTGCTTATTAGATGTGTGTTGGCCAAGGTGGTGAATATGTGGTATGAATCCTGGAGTTATTTCTAAGACTGGAATGTAGATTCCTTAATGTCAGCTAATGTAGACATCAACAAGATGAGCAAAGAGGTGAAAGGTAACACCTTCTCCTGTTTGCAATCCTTGAATAAATATTTGAACCTGAAGGATAAATATAAATCCATATGCACACACGGATATGCATATGTTTTGATACACTCTCATTTCCAAAATTGGCAGTAATTGTACAGGTTTTATTCTGATCATTTGAAGTTGCCCAGTTTAAAGTAGGTCTGGGTGACAATCAGGAGTAAAGGACTTGAACAGCAGTCCATGGTCTTATGCAGATTTTCTGTTGCATTCAAGTAAAACTGGAACAGGGATCTCCTTTGAGATTGAGAGGAATTAATCCAGAGATACTTGTCACTGGGACTGGACAACATTTTCATATATATTTTATTTGACCTGTTAGATCTAACATGGAAGAGGATCAATATCTAACTGAGAATACAGAATTAAAAGGGCAAACTATGATGGTACAAACAATGTGCTGATGCATTTCTCTTTCTTTCTTTTTAATACTTAGCCAATCAAGAAATGAAATCAAGGATTTTGGTAAGAACTTTTGCTGTCAGTTTTCTTTTAGTCCTCAAATCCAGTGATATATGTAGGCTAACAAGTCTGAGTTGTTTTATTTAGGTCATAAAAGCCGCAGAAGACAGCACGTTGCAATACATGAATTTCATGAATGTGGTCTTCGCAGCGCAGAAACAGGTGAAGCTGCTTTTCTATAAATTTAAATTGTCTTTTATTAACGTGCAAAGATGACAAATCAGTTCATTTCTCTTATGATTACGTTCTGATCAAGTGAAAGAGCTTTCCTATGGCTGTGGTGGCCCTGTATCTGCAAAAGCAGGTGCATTTCTTTGTGGGGTGCATGTATGGTGGAAAAAAGTCATGTCAGGAACACTGGTGGGGCTGCGTTGGTCCCGGCTGAATTTGGTTTTCATGCATTTCCTCTCTTTCCTTGCAGAGTATTTTGGTTGATGCCTGTGTCCTGGACTCTGATTCGGGTCTTCTACAACAGGTACAGACTTCCTGTTCTTGTTTGCTGTTTGTATTAATTCATAGAAACTTGATGCCAGATAGTTCAACATGTTCTTCTGCTCTTTTCCTTCTGTTAAGGAAGAGTGGGTGTGGAAATATGTTCAGTGGATCTGACAGTTCTGTCATGCAGGCCTTGTGCAGTACAAGGACATTTTAAATATCCTGTTAATGTCATAAAACAACAACCTGATCATTCTCTCTGCTTTGCAGGCCTGTGACATTACAGGTGGCATATATTTGAAAGTGCCCCACATGCCATCCCTCCTGCAATATTTGTTGGTAAGTCATTGAAAAAGCACCTGAGGGTTTTTCCTGTGTCAGATGTGAAATATCACTGATGAGGAGATACAGCAGTACCAGTCCAATTCACAAAGTATTTTTCTCCCTCCCTGCAGTGGGTATTTCTCCCTGACCAAGAGCAGAGATCACAGCTGGTCCTCCCACCTCCTGTTCATGTTGACTACAGAGCTGCGTGTTTCTGTCATCGGAACCTCATTGAAATTGGTTACGTGTGCTCTGTGTGCTTGTCAAGTGAGTTTATAAATATTTAAGAGTCTGATTTCTTCCATTCAAATGACCTATTTTAGTGAAAGCCAATTCTTTTCTTTTCCAGTATTCTGCAACTTCAGTCCTATTTGCAGTACCTGCGAGTAAGTGTTTGTTCTTTGTATTTCAGGGCTGGGTGTGGAAATATGTTCAGTGTATCTGACAGTTCCTTTTTTATGTTTTTTTTTTCAGGACTGCTTTCAAAATATCATTGCCACCTGTCATGAAAGCAAAGAAGAAGAAATTAAAGTTAGCTGCGTAACAACATTATGTAAATACATCATTACCTCCTCCAGTAATTCCATGAAATGGAACCTACTTGAGAAATTGCTGGCACTTTTTATTGGATACGAAAGAGAACTGGATGAAGTGCTATTACTTTTTTGTTAGGGGATAAATATTTAAACGAGATGTCTTCTATGCAGCCCTTTAAGTAACGAATCACTGTATTACCATGTAACCTGTGCTGTTTTCCATACTAATTCTGAACTGTAAGAGGAACCAGAAGTTACATCCTGTAAAGAGACCCAGCCTGTGAAGTTGAAGGTATTCTGGCCACTGCAAAGTTTTCCACCTCTCAGTTGTTTTCAAAGACAAGAAAGCTGTGGTTCTTTTTGTTGGTGTAAAGTTCAGAATGACCAGTTCTAGTGTGTAGGATCAGAACTTTAGCATTATGTTGTTCAGGGACTTCAGCTCCTTGCTAGCAATTTTTGGACTAAAACAGCATCAGTTTCAAAAGAAATGAGCCAACATTTTCAAAATGGTTTGGGAGCCACTTGAATAAAAAGGTGCTAATTGCCCTACATGTGCACTCACATGTATTCATATCCCTTTGACTGTATTATCCTTGTGGTACTTCTTTCTCAATTTGATATATCTTTGTTCGTGAATAAAAAGGCCTCTCTTTGAAATAACACCAATAAATACAGACTAGCTGCTTAATTTTTAAGATTGTATTTTGAAACTGAAAAACAAAAAATGTAGTTGTAATATGACAGCAGGCACACTTCTTTTTTTAGTATGTGCTTTTACATCTGGCATATGACAAGAACAAAGACTAAACAAACAATATCCCCATCTAAAAAGTATAGTTTGGAGGTTTAGCCTGTTTTACAAACTGCCGTTCTTCTGAAAGGAATACAGAGAGGAATTGTTTCCTACATAGAAAAGGACTATTTTTTTCTTCCTAATGTCTACACAAGAATTTGTCATGTCTTGATATCAGGTTTTGTCACTGTAACAGCTTTAGTGCCAGTTTTTTCCAGGCTTGCCAGAGTACAAGGCGAGGTTTTTTGATTGCCAAAAGCCATTTTGTGTGAAGGCTGTATTTATAAATTACTTTGTATAAAACTTTTGTAATAAAAACTGTTCCTTTTGCAAGCGTGGCCAGATATTGCTTTAATGACATATTTAAGGGT